TCCTCAGCAGGAAGTGTATTTGACGATTGTTTTTTTGCAGCTTCTTCCAATTCTTCTTGTTGCTTGAGTAAAGCAGCATAATAAGCCTTAATATACTCATCCTATAGAAAATAGGAAAGAAAACAAATATTTAGCAAATAAAAAATGTCTTATACATCTGGGAGGAAGGGAAAAGGAATTCAAAAACAAATAGAAAGAAAAAAATGTTCATCTTATTTTAACAACCTGTATATTTTTATTATCGTCGTGTCCAACTGTTGACTTCTTGTCATCTGTGTACTGTGCTGCTGTGGAAGTTGAAGTTCCATCCATCTTTGCTTCCTGCTTCACCTCTCCACGTTGCTCCTTTGTAAGATTCATCCCTGATGTAATCATCCATGGAGGCAAAACCTTTAAACCTGTACTGTCAGTTTCAGATTTAACACCCTCTCGTTTGCCTTCAGCATTATTGAAGTCAACAACAACCTGTCACATTCATCAATAGAATACTAAGTATTTAAAACTATTTAAGGAACTCATGCCCAATGAAAAAATTGAAAAGCTGCACAGAAGATTCATTATGATTTAACTTGAGAGCAAGGCAGGCATTATTCTTAATATTCATTCACATGTAACTTATTTCAAGATAAAAAAAGGGTTAAAACTATTTTAACTGCAAACAGAATATAAGGAGAAAGGCAAACAGAAATGAAACCAAGACAATCAAGCAAGTTGGCAAGGATGTTCATTAATAGAAACATTAGGGTTTGAGAGAAAAATGATAAAAAAATTCATTACTGCTAACTAAGGTACTATCCTACTTCATTGTATTATTTCTTCCTTCTAATAATATTTCTTATTTTAACAGCCCCCGCCCCTCCAAAAAAAAGGTTGCACGCTAAGAAATACAACCTAGAGATTTAAATTCATCTAAACGATAAATAATAACAATCAGCACCATCTTTTTTCTAATTGAAATATATCAGCACAATTTGATCAACCAATGCAAAGGAAAAGTATACTGTTCAAACTAAATTAAATCAATGAGTTCTTAGTTTTCTTGAAGAAAAGAAAATTTCATTAGAAAGAAAAGATGGAATGTACAATATAAAGAGGACAATATTTCATTCATAACAGGGAGGGATCCGCTAAAATTTATAAAAAAATATATAGCATAGTTGCCTTGTCTCTCACGTGCAAGAAATAATAACACCAGGAGAGTGTTACCTTAGTGTCTCCACTATAAGGCATTGGCACTCCATTATATCCTAGCGATGAAATTTTGGAATCTCCAGCATTGATATCGCCATTGGCTGCACGGACAGCAGCACTAGCCCGGGCTTCCCATGCTTGAAGACTGCCAAATTCTGGAACAGGCAAGTCTTTTACCCGACTGAGTTGGTCCATTAAAGGCTTGAGCTGTACCTGCACTAGTACAAGAAGTACAACAGTCATCACAAGATTAAATTGTGACCAGTAGCAACAAAAAAAAAGGCAATCAATGCGCAGTCCAACACTATATCATGAAATTCAAATGATATTAAGATACCATAGGCGAAGGTTGTGACATTCATAAACTGGCCCAAATTTTGCACCTCTACTGAATACTCGCCCTGACCCAGCATATATTATATACTAGCATGGAATATGATGGTCAGTCAAAACTAGTAAAGTAGTTGTTGACCTACTAAAAATTTGTGTGCCTGTCAGCTCAAGGTTATCTTGGGCTATTTCTCAACTAAAATGGGTCATAAATTGGATTGGACCAAAAAAACCAAGGCGTCCTCTAAATGCTGCATTCAAGCTTGAACTGGCAGCAAATTTATTGTTTTGATCATTCCCCAAGTCCCAATTAGGGCTGAACTGAAATGACATAGAAGAATGGAAAACAGGGATGCTGCCAGTGCCTCCTGGTCCTTTCTTCTTTGTAACTTGTCGTAGTTGGCAACTTCCCCATGGCTGCTACATTATGAATTTCTTATATGGTACTATGCAAGAGTAAAATTCAATTTTTTATCTTTTTATCTCAGGCAGTGATTGTCATTTAGCAATCTCATGGATAGAGATAGGTTCAAACACATGAAACATAACAGACATTTATGATGCATGGGCAGGTTTTTCTTTTTACCTTTCATAATGTTGGCTTCTAGTTGAATGTAGAGGTATCCAGTTCCAAAGTGAGTGATTGAGTTTAAATTTTTAGTAGAATTGGTTTCAAATATTCTTTAGATTTGGACTTGTACTTCTGCCCTTTAGAACACATGGGAAACAGGCTTACAGGGTTTATATACTTTCAATTTTTTTAGCTTAAATTTCATGAGTAAAATAAAAATATATTTTCACTCTATTACACAACAATAACATTAAATCAATTAAAAGTGATTAAGCTTACTACCAAATGAAAGTCTGAGTTATCAGGATGCCATTACACATCCTACTTTTGTTTGTTTATATTTCAATTCAGTTACTCCCAAGTGCATCTTTAAGTAGGTGAATCGCATTAAACAACTTATTTCAACATTAAGATAAAGAATCAGAGAGATAGTTTAATGATGCATACAAACAGCAAATAAAACATATTCTTAGGGAAAATATGACTTGGCATATTCTAACATTGCTTGCTACAAATTATATTAGTTGAGTTTCCCAGTTCTTGAAAACAACAATTATAACTCTTAGAATGTGGGTTTGAGACTAACTCAACCTTACAAAATTGACTTGTAAGATGAATGTTGCACTCTACTTATATTATTAGTCTTATCCCTGGTCAATGCGGGACTTGTGTTTTTTCCAATACACTCCCTTAACACCCAACATTATTAGGTTTGGTACATAGATAAATGATGGATAACCTTGTTTTTAAATGATCTAGGATAAATGACACTTAGGTTTTTTCCAATACATCCCCACTTGCTAAGGACTATGGGCTTGGTGCATTTATAAACACTGGTTGACCTTTTTAATTGGATCTAAGATGGCTCTGATACTATCTTCGAATGTGAGTTTGGATCTAAATCAACCTTACAAAACCAACTTATAAAGTGAGAGTTGTCTCCCACTTATAGACTCATGTTAGTTTTATCTCTGGTAGATATGGGACTTAAATTTTCCCAATAATAACAAATCTAAGTAAAATGATTCATCAAATGAAGCCATAAATAGAAATAGACAGCATATTAAAATCATATACAAACCTCCATCTTTTGAAGCATGTCCTTTAACTTCTCACGCCGTCGTCGTCTTGCATTATCATCTCCTTCTCCCCCTTCTTGAGCAGCTATCTTATCACTTTCAACCTCTAGTTTTCCATTACAACTTTCACAGTGGAAGTCCTCATCTTCAAACGATACTAACCGCAAAGCATCCAAAGCATTGTATCTAAAATAATTCACATGCCCAAGCATTATGGAACAAAAATGCATCAATACAAAATAACTATGATATATTATGATGTTGATATCACAATGAATTATTGAAACCTTTTTGCACAGTTTGGACATATATATTCCTGAAGTGTGTTTTTGTTCTCCAACTCATCTTTCAGCTTATGCTTCATGCGATGTAGTCTGTACCTAATTACATCATATATCTGCAATGAAATTCAACATAAGATTTTCTATATTCAGAAGGGGCAAAAATTGGTTATTCACTCGTAATGTCATTTATATCAGGGAGTAAAACTGCAATAAAAACCACAATTATGGAAGAATTAGGGTGAAGTGATGAACCTGTGCATAATCTAGACAACAGTAAGAGTGGGTGTGCAGCTTGACCTTTTCTTCTCCCTCTTTTGTTGTTTGTTGACCATCAGCTGTAGCAGCTACAGCAGCACTATAAATTTTTGCACCTTTTGCCGTCTGAGGTCAAATCAGAAAAGATGTACATGACTATACACTTTCCACCAATAACTCTCACATACAAGAAAATATAGCAATGAAAAATAATAAACAAAACTAAAAATTAATGTGTAAACGGATGAGAATTATAAACCAGAACTACTAAATAACTAGTTATGCAGCAGTTAAACTTAAATAGATGGAAGAAACTTTGCATGAGAGAGAAAAGTGAGAAAACAATATGAATTGTACGCAAAGGAGGACATGTTCTAAAATAATAATCTTAAAAGAGCTTACCTACTCTTCATTCATCAAGATCTAGAAAAAATTATTATATATTGAGAGTAATCTTTTCCTGGATATATAGTTATTTTCCAAGTATTTTTTCCTCTGATTTAGCTTGGTGTTTTTCTGTTATAACTGTCATAAGGCATAAATGTACAGTTGTGCATCTCTCATCTATAAATAAGAGTAGCCACGGCATTTTTATTAATATCTCATTTTTCAGAAATACAAATTCAGCTTTAGATATTCTCTTTCTTATTTCATTTCACTAAGATATCTAATGTGGTATCTAGAGCTTAGTTCAGTCAACAATGACCTATATCGTTCCACCAACCTCAACTCCACTGTGATCACATCCTCCTATAGTGTCTTCCTCTTCAGTACCACTTACCTTCTCCAATACAATTTCAGAAAAACACATTGAAGATAACTTCCTTCTCCAGCATCAAGTCGTCAATATTGAGCCAGTTATTATTCCACCAACCCCTCCTCCAACCTCAACTTCATTGTGATCACATCCTCCTATAGTGTCTTCCTCTTCAGTGCCACTTACCTTCTCTGATTTAATTTCAGAAAAACACATTGAAGATAACTTCCTTCTCTAGCATCAAGTTGCTGACAGATTGAGCCAGTTATTAAAGGTTACCGTCTTCACTCCTATCTTGTTAATCCACACATTCCACCACATTTTCTCACCGAAGAAGATCATAGCAATGATGCATTGAATGATCATAGCTTGGGAACAAACAACAGAATCAGTTCTTCCTATTGTGGCATCAATCTACCTTGACAAGTGGAATCCTCACTCAAGTTATTGGTTGCATTAATTCTTCCTTTTACTAAATTCCTTCTTGATTTAAGTGTTTTTCATATATTAATATGTCGTCATACACATCATCAAAATGGAGTAGTTGAGAATGCAAGCATCAAGACATCATGGAATTGGGACTCACTCTCCATCAAGCTTCCATTCCCTTAAAATTCTGGGATCATGTGTTTGTTGTTTCTGTTTATCTTATAAATAAACTCCCTACATCTTCTCTTATGTTTGAGATTCCATATTAGGTGCTATTCAAACGTCAGGGTATCTTTGGATGTTCTTGTTCTCCCTTGTGTCCATACAACAAACACAAATTAGATTTTCAAATCCCAAGAATGCCTATTCCTTGGATGTTTCAAATCCCAAACCAAATGACACTGTTTTGAAGGCGAAAATGGGTTTTCCAAAAGCCTCACTCTAGCACCGTTACAGCCTCTATTTTGGCCATGAAATGCGCTGTATTCAAACTTTGTAGCGGCCCATGGCCACTTCAACTGCTATAATGCACTATTGATAACAATGGTGGGTTCCCACATAAACAACATGACTAAACATTAAAAGTTTGTTGCACCTTATTTGATAATAATCTATCTGGTTGTTCTATCCTTTATTAAGTGAAACTCTCGAGTATCCCTAACTTATACTCTTCATTAAATTGTGGAGGAAAAAAATAATTATGATAAGTGTTAAAGAAAATACCATATCATTTATTATAAAATCAAATATCCCCTTTTACTTCTCTCCTTTATTGTGTTACTCTGTAGTTTTCAAGTTACATGAATATACTTATAAATAATCTATCAAATTGCTATATAAAGGGATGATTTAACACCAGTCATCGATAATGTGTCTGTTAAGCTCGTTCAAAAGAGCAACTCTAAGCCACCCACGTGCTCACAATCAAGATATGAATCACACAAAAGAAATTGTCTATTTTATTGGCTAAATGCATAGGCAGAACCAAATAGTTACCTCTCTCCTATGATCGCGAGTAATGATCTTTTCTTCTTCAAAGAACCGCAGAGTTCGACGAAGTTGTTTTGTATGCAATTTGAGGTCCTTTGCCAAGTCTTCTTCCCTAACCCATTGTCGTCTGGAATAAATATTAAGAGTACAGTTAAACACCAAGTTAAATAAATAAAGCATCAAAAGCTACTAATATTTGCTTCAGGTATAATCAAGTTCAACCTATTCTGCTTTTTTTACATTTCTTCCCTCTTTTTTATTTCCTTTTGTCTAGTCTGCTTTCTAATTCTCTCTATTTCACTTAAAAATCATACAACTTCCGTTCTCTTTTTGTTTCCCTTCTTTTGTAAATGGATACGAACGATACTAGTTCCACGGTTTTAAATTGAATTAAGCAACCCGATATTGAGCTTCTCAAAGTCTCACAATAGCATTGCAACCACAACCGCAGCAGCATTTGCCCAAAATTATTCGCAAATTTGCTTCTCAACTACCACAATTCAAAAGCACACGTTCTACTTTCAAAAGAATAACACAGAGACATGTATTCAAAATCAGATAAACAAGAAGAAAAAATCGAACCTCGTGAGCGCATCAAGAACCACTACAGCAATTCCCCTATTATCACTCCTTCCCGTTTTGGGCTGATTATCTCCTTTGCTCGTTAGATCATCATAGAAAGCCCTTGCCGCTAGTTTAACCAGCCTACGCATATTCGTTCAGCAAATTAAAACAAAATTAACATATACTGAACTGAAGTTGAAAACCGCTTCTTATTTATTTAATTTTTTTCTTTTAATTTGACTAAACGCAATTTTGATCCACAGAACTAAAGAGAGGGCAATACTTGTTGTAGGGCTCAATCATCGATTCGGCGTTGTTTAGGGCTCACGCGGTCGTTGCAGTTCGTTGCGATGGAGGAAAGATCTCTACCCCGAGAAGTTCAATAACGGCGACAAGAAAGAAAATAGGAACACCGGTCAGTGGTATTTATATAGAGAGACGCTTTCGTAGTCCTGGTCCTGGATGGGCCTTTGGGCTTTATCCATTTCAGCAGTTCAATGGCCTTACGAATCTGGTACTGCCTACCTACTACCTGGAAAGAAAAAAAAAAAATCTTTGAATTATATGGATTATTAGGTATTTTATTTTTTTAATTTCAAAACAAAATCTATATTGGTGTCTAACTTTATAAAATCTAGTTGATTTCAATAGTAAAAAGAAAAAATATAAAAAATAAATAAAATCAATGAGCTTTTGTAAAATCATGAGTTAACGGAGAGTTTTTTAAATCTTATAAGTTTAAAATATCTAACTCATATAGTGTTAAGTACTCGTTTAGAGGTTTATTAAAAAATTGAATTACTCGTGTAAGAGATCTCAATTAGCTATAGAAGAATAATTATCGATGTAAAGTATCAATTATTTTCATGTCTAATATAATATTTAACTTCTTTTATCGTGATAGTTTTGTGCGAATTATTTTGATACCTATTATAATATTTATTTTTTTTTATCATGATAATTGTCATATAAATTAAGACATTTATATTGTAAGCGTTAAGATAATTATGTTTAAAGTAATATTATAATTTATTTATCAACAAATATAATATTATAACTTAAAATTAATCTTAATTCATAATTAATTTCATTAGAGTATCTTTAATTAAAAATATTTGTTTAATTAAAAATGTTTGTGATATATCTTACTAACAAGTAACCATGCTTATTAATAGCTTTTATCGAAATGTGATGATGATAAAACTTACTTTAAAATAAACAATAACTCTTAAAGAAATAATGTTGTTTATAAATTAAAAATAAATTATTTTTTTAGTTTATATTTTTCCAATGAATAACAAAGAACAAAAATAAACATCACAACTAAAAAATAAAGTCTCGCATTATCAGTTTTCATCACTTAAGAATTAGTCACTCATCCTTGTTATATATTTATTATAGTTCTGTAATTTATTTGCTTTTAACAATTAATATTTTGATGTGCATTAAATTAATTATGTAAATCTTATTAATATTTTTTATATATTAAAATATTATTTATTATATTTGATTGAAATAATATTTAATTATAATAATTATATTAATTTTTCAAGTCATAAAAAATGAGGTATAAATAAAAAATTATAAAAGTGTGAATTGTTTATAACATCTTATTAATAAAGAAAAATTTGAAAACATATAATATGAGTTACTCAAAAATAATATAACATGATAAATTTATTCGAAATAAAATAAATAAATAATAATAATAAATTATTATACTATATATTCGTGATGACGCGTAGTACATTATGGTGCTCTTGCTATACATAATACCATGTACATGACGTTTTGTTGCGGACTTGCGGTGAAGTGGTGTTGAGATGATGAATGTGTAATTTAACGAGTGGTTTGAGCATTTTTTTTTTTTAATAGAATTGATGGTTGGTGATAGAGTATGATATCTATGCTTATATTTCTTATATTTTTGTTATTTGCAAATTTGATATGAATATTTTTATCTCAAGCTCATTCCTATTTTGTATAACTGCAACAATTGTTTTTTTGGTATAGGAACAGTAGCAAGTCTTAGGGAGCAACAGACGGTTGTAGAAGGGTTTTTGATAGTTTTTTTTTAAGAGTTATTTGATATCATGTTTGTTAGAGAAAAAAAAATGGATGAAAAAGAAGAAAAAATAAGATAAAACACGTGTTAGTATAAGAGCATAGATGCCTAGCAAAAAAAAAAAAAAGAGTATAAAAGGATAGATGATTAAGAATTAAAGCAACATAAAAGTTATTTGGTAGAAGATAAATAAATAAAAGTAAAGTGAAATTTAATTTTTTATAAATAATTTTATTTAAAGATAATAAGTAAATTTTTTATTATTACTAAGGATCAAAATATTTTATGCCTTAAATAGTTATACATAAATAGAATATTAGAAGATTGTGTATTATTATTTATAAAAAATATAAGAAAATTTATTTTTTACATCAAAGGATCATAATGGTCTACTAAAAGTGGAGATAAAAATAATTATATACTCTAGTACCCCTTTATAATAAGTATAGATTAGAGAGAAAAAAAAGTTGTCTTCTATTTTCTTAAAAAAAGTTACTAAATAATGAAAAAAGGATGAAGAGTTTGGAAATTGAATGTTGAAGTAATAAATAAATAAAAGATAATGAAAAAAACTAGTTTAGAAATAATTATAGGGATGAATTAATTTTTAAAAAATCACTAAAAAAATATCTCTTTTATTTTAATAGTAAGTATATATATAGTATAGATATAAAATATTATTGGAAGTTTAACTTTTTTTAAGTAAATTTACTTTCAACTAATAAATATTTTATTGCTATATTTATTTACTAATACTATTATTAGAAGTTTAATTTTTACAATTTATTTTATTTTAAATATAATATTTTTTATTGTATTATATATATGTGTGTGAAAAATTAAATTCTAAACATTTACTATCATTTTATAGAAGTTTTACATGTGAGTCTCGCATTAAAATTCACAAATTTTCTTCATTTTTTCATACTAGACACATTTCACTTTTTAACTTCTCTTTGTTTTTTCACACTTCTCTTCCTAAACACACCTCGTACAATTTTAACATTCAAAAATTATTCTAAAATGGTTAATATTTTTGTTTTTCAATGTAATATTAATTACTTTTTTAAAATTTGTCCCTTTATTAAATTATTCAACCATCAATATTAACAATATTTCATTTATTAAAAGAGTAAGGGTATTTTGGTTAAATTAATTATATAAAAAAGTGATACATTTATTATTGTTCTTAATTTAAGTTTAAAAATCTTAAATTATAATTATTGTGGAATTGATAAAGTATATTCAAGATGTTATGAGAAGTTATAACTCAATGAATCCTTATTTTGCTTTATTGTATTATGACCTTTTGTGTAACATTGTTAAAAAAAAAAAAAAAAAAAAAAAAAATGAAACCAGAACGGGTCGTTCTGGTTTCAAATCGGGTCGTTCTTTTGTACTCGTGGTATGTTAATTTTGCATCTGGAACGACCCGTTTCAGATGCAAAATTAACACACCAAGTGTGCACCCAAAATGGCTCGTTCCAACATTGTAGGCTTGGCCCATTACATTCAATTGCTCTTGTTTCTTAGAAGCCGAAAGGAAAACAGTGTTTGGCAATGAAGGCCCACCAGAATACTAATTGATGCATGTTCAAATAATTCACCACCAACAAAAGAAATTCATGTAATTAATCATTCTTCAATGGATCAAAATATCCCACTAACAAATTATGTTGTTTCATTGAATTTTTTTTTATTTTTAAAATCACTGCATAAGCATTGAAACTAATAACTGTATTGTCTATATTATTATGATTATTTATATTATTATGTTTCACTTCCCAGATAAAGTTAATTATTTAGTTTTCTTAGAGTGGAAAGTACATATACATTTTCAGTGCATTATGTTTAAATTATTACATATTACTAGTTTTTTTTTTTAATTGTGGAGCCCACAATTAATATTGTACCACCCCAATATTAATCATGCATCACGAATTGTCAATTCACCGAGAACCTCGATAATATGCCCAGCGGAATGAATGCCTTTGTCAAATAATTTATAACTCAATGAAAATTATGCTTTTTAAAAAATATATATATATAATTAAATGCATTGCTTAACTTTGAAGTTCAATGACACACTTTCAAACCAGGTTAGGTGAAATATTCATTAAAGTTTATGATTTCTTGTTTGTGTGTGAAAAAAGAATACTAGTTTAATAGAGTTCCCATCTTTGGGCAATATAGTTTTTTTTTTTCCTTTTACCGGACAAATTTGAAACAACTAGGTTTTCTATTATTATGATTTACATTATCCATGCACGGAAGGGAACAAGTGCGTAAGGTAAGGACTATGATTAAGATTTATGATTGCTTCAATGTCTAGTGACTAGAGGAAAAGAATAAAGACATCTCCTCAGAATTAGGTGAGTGACTAAATTAGACCATCTCTCCTATTATCATCCAAACTATATTTTGAACCCAATAGAAATTACTAAGTAACTGACATAATTAAAAAAAATATGGAATTATAATTTTTTTTTAAGTTTTTAAAATTTATTCTATTAAAATAAAATTAAGTATGGGTTGTTTAACATGACATGGTATAAAAGGATCACCAATCATAATTTTAAATGTATTAAACAATTTAAGTGAATTATTCTTATTGGAATTGTTTTAGACATATGTTAGCAATAATTTATAATATATAATACCATATTTAGTTGTGCAAGCAATCTTCTCTTCTAATAAGTAATTTGTTATTAATTGCAATTACTATTTAATAATGATTTGTTTGGGTAAACAATAAAGTGTGACAAAAAAGTAGGGTAGAAAGAAATAGGAAAGAAGAGAGGATGGGTTAAAAATGGATAGATTTTTAGGATGTTTAAATTAAAATAAATAAGAGAAAAATAGAAGAGAAGTAGATAAAAAATATTATTATTTTAATAAATCTCACAACATTCATAGATTTTTATAAAAGGCTAAAAATCTATTTTTGTCCCTTATAATAATTGTTTGTTTCAATTTAGTCTCACTTTTATTTTTTGTCTCAATTTGGTCCCTAATAAATTAATTGATTGCAATGTGGGACTTCCGTCTAAATTATTTAAACGAAGTTAACTGTTGGCCAAGTGGATGCCACATGGATGCCAAATATTTTGAAAACACCTGGAACTAGAACGGTCCGTTCTGAAACTGGAACTTCCTTAGTTCACTAGTAGTAGTGCGATTCCACTAAGTGTAGAGACCATGGCGGGTCGTTACATTTTGCATGATTGTATGTGTACAAGTTTCCTAAATTGTTTATATATATTGGAGCAAGTGAAGGTTAGTTAACATTTTGTTAGTTTATTTTGTCATTTTAGTTTTTTGTTTAGTCTTTTTATTTCTTATGTTGGTTGTTGTTTTTTTAGACATTTTTTTATGTGAAAGCTAATGTCATTTATGGATTTTGTGCATTTTCAACATTGTTAGATATTGTTGAAGAATCTTAATCTCTCGTGTATACGAATTTGCTTATAGAATATGGTTAATAGCATTAATTGTTTAAAATCCTACTTTGACGTTCAAAAAAATACAAAGAATTTAGGCTATTTATACTTGTTGATAGTTTTTATATGATGTAATTTTTAAATTTTTGTTTCACATGTTAGTTCTGGATGATATTATTCACATTGTCAGTTTTTATTATTGAAAGGTTATTTAAATAAGTGAATAAACATAATTAACATGTGATACATTATTACATCAAGGTATAATGTAATATTGTTCCTTTTTCTATAAAATCAACTATGGTGTTTTTTTTCTACTTAAAAGTCAATTGGCAAAATATATCCACAAGCATTATATCATATGCATTGATCATATATATGACAATCAATATTTACATGTACATTATATGATATATTTTATTATGACTTCATCTTGTTAGTGCGTAATGAATATGTTTGTATAATTTTGTTAAATAATTTTAATTGCATATGTTTTCTCGAAGAGTTGGTTACTGTTACATAGGTTTACTTTGTTATGATTTATATATTGTCACGTTTGAGTAAGGTAATTCAGTTCCTTATTAAATCACTTCTTATACTAGTTGGACGCAACAATTTTCATTATTAATATAAATGATATTAAGTTATGCTCTTTCACTCTTACACACACACACATATATATATATCTATATATATATATATATGCACGAATGTGTAGCATGGATGATGAACTTATATATATGTAGAAAGTGATATGGATTTTCAATCTAACAATTAGATTACAAAATTTACATTTAATATAAAGTTATTGAGCGGTGTAATATTTAGTAAAAATTATACTAGTATTATTATAATTCTCCTCACTCACACACACATGTGTATATATATATATATATTATGTATTATGAATTACATGTATTTCATGTGTTTCATAACACATTTTTTTATTGGAAGTATTTTGATACATATTTACTCATTTTGGAATGAGTGTTTCACAAACATTTTAGAATGCCTATTTTGAATTGTGTGTAAAAAAACTTTTGTGTTATAGATTGAGTGTCCTTGAAATAATGTTTTGAGATTTTTTATAAATAATAAATGTAAAAAATAAATGATGAATGTCTTAAAAAAAGAAAACCTAAAACATATCATTAAATGAGAAAAGAGTGAAGAAATAAGTTATAAAAATGTGAAACTTACTTAAAATTACAATTTTAACCTTATTATATTTTATCTACTTTTCACAAAATCTATTATATATAAAAGATAAAAATGTCTTTCTAAAAAAAAATAAATTTCTTTCTCTCCACTTTTATATTTAATCAAATTAATGAAGAGAAAATCAACATTACTTTCTCCTCTACTCTTTCAATTCAAACACATTTAAAATTTACCAATTTTGGCACTCATTTTATTTAATAATTTTCTTTAACCTACTTTTTATTTCATACACATCTTTCTTTATCAAAGCATCAACAGCAATTGTATTAAATTGAATTTAATACAAAATTTAAAATGAAGTGCACACTGGACAAGGCATTTGCGTTGCCAAAGTAGGGCACACAGGAACATATAGGGCACTCTATCGTCATCGCTGTCTAGGCGTGACCCAAGCAGGCTACTACTGCGCAAGGCCCTCTATAAATAACGCATCACTTCAGCTCGTTCACAGGGAGACAGAGAAGAAATAAAACATCGATAGCTCGATTCCAATTCGATTTCTGATGGCCAAGCCTCGCAAGGCGAAGAACAGCGAAGACACGAAGCCCGAAAACTCCGGTGCCCTAGTTCACCACCAAAAGCTATGCCTCTCCATCGACATGGAAAAGCGCCTAGTTCACGGGTTCGCTTTCTTCCCTTTCCTTTCTCTTGCAATTCTCTTTCCCCTCTTTCCGTTACACGCACGCACGCACGCACACTACTTGGAAATTAGCATCTACTATGTGCTGCTATTGTAAATTAGGTTTTACTGCCTCGATTCGAGATCGCCTAGTCCAAATCGATCTGGAATTTGATTCTAGTTAATTTCACGTGCAGGTATACTGAATTGGAGATTGCGGTGCCGGAGATTGGGATCGTAGGGTTGCACGCGGAGAACTTAGGGATTGAGAGTGTTTGGGTTGATGGTGAGCCAACGGAGTTCGAGTATTACCCGCACCATCAGCAGCAGTTGGAGGATGATAAGAGATTTAGCTCCGTGTGTTCTCCTAGCTCTGCTGCTGATGCTGCTGTCTCAGTGTACATGTCCGCTCTGGAGAAGGAACTTGTCCCCAATTTACTTATTAATTGCTGTAAACCTTCCAAGACTGAGAGTGAACAACAGCAGGAGCAACCTGTTCCCGAGAACGGGTTTCACTCCGCGTCTGAGCCCAAGCAGGTTATAGTTGCTGCCTTTGAACTCTTGCTTTCTTCTAACCAGGATCCCAGCAGTTTTTGGTAGTTCTGTTTGGCGAGACTCGTGAACCTTAAGCATGGCGACTGAATTTGAATAGTGTGTACATATTCGTAATCCTGATCTATTAAAAGTAGTTAGGCACTGACGTTTTCTATTGATTTATTGGCTGAATTGAATTTTATAATATATGTTTTTTTTAGGGGAATTTTATAATATATGTATACAGTTGTAGTTATAATATTATAATATAATTATATTTTTAATTATTTGTAAAATTGTCTTGTTGCTGCATGTAGAGCTCAGTATGACCCACATGTAGTTAAATTGCGGTAGTGGTTTTGTTGCGATAGTTGACATTAAGGGAATTAGTAGACCAATGCGGCCACAATTGCTATTGTGAAACGGTTTTCCAAAAACCTTGGTGGTGCGTGACATCCTTGTCAATTCGAGGAATTGTGAACAAATTTAGCTACAATTGTGGTTGTGATGTGGTTGCAAAGAGTTCAAAAGCCTTGATGTTGTGGCTGAAATTGTGATTGCAGACTGTGTTTTGAAATCTTGGGCCCAAGTCCATAGTAACTAATCAACAACCCAATTTATGAACATCTTCTGTTTGGATTTTCCATGTTTTTATCAAGATATTGCATGTATTATTTATAATGGGTCATCACAAATAATGTTTGATTGTGGTTTTTTCAAAATTTTCTCTCTACTTTGCTTTTTATTTGTGTTTTTTTGCCTACTCAATGGGTAGGTTCTTTGTTTTTGATTGTTGAGATAGTGTAGCATCCTTCCCCCAAAGTGTGACAGTGAAATGTGAGAAACGAGTAGTTGTGGTGAGGTTTACTATTTGTGTTTTCTCATGTAGGTTGATGTTGGGTGCAGAATGTGAGAACTGTTCGTATTGACTATTGGATAGAGAAAGCCGAGACAGGAATCCACTTCAGAAATAATGTTCTTCACACTGATAATCAGATAAGGAGAGCAAGGTGTTGGTTCCCTTGTATAGATGACAATGCACAACGATGTTGGTAAGAATTGTTTAACCCTTCCCTATTTGTGTGCATGTCCATACACCAGGTCCATGCCCTCATTTTATAATAACAATATTTACTGCTCAATGTATGAGCTTGAAGTAATTATTGGTTGTTTGTTCATGTTCAGCTATGACCTGGAGTTCACTGTAGCACACAATCTCGTGGCTGTTAGTACGGGAAGCTTGCTTTATCAGGTAGCGTTGCATGATACTGAAGTTCTGTTATTTTAGTTCTGAAAGTACGAGAAATACTATTTTTGACAAGCTGATAATATTTTGAAGATGTATTTTGTTGATAAGCACATTTATGTTCTGTCAAGTCAAGTCAGGTCGGAAATTGGAACTTCTTTCATTTCCTACCACTGGGCAATTGGAGTATGGCTACTATTGTTGTTGTTGTTGTTTTTTTTTTTTTTTTTTTTTTTTTATAAATTTTTTATATCCGCAGATGTTAGATGATGATAAGCTTCAAATTCAATCAATATTTGTCTTTGGGTATATTCATTGTTGAAAATAACAGGATTTTGACTGCTGTGATAGAACTGTAGAAAACTGCAAACGACTAATTTTGTACAGAAGACATGGATGTGAAGTTATTGGGTTGTAATTGTATTAAAAATATTGGAAATAGTTATTTCATTCATATGGTTGATGTTGCTCTCTTTCGCAGCCTAATACTTGAGCTTGAGGTGTCTGATAGAACAGTGAATTATTTGCTGTGGCTCTGTTTTATACGCTGAAAATTGTAGTTTTCCAACTTATTTATATATAGTAGTTTTCCAACCTATTTATATATAGTAGATCATTATACACTGAAAATTGTTATAAATTGAAGATTGTAGTTTTATGCACCGAAGATCATTCATTAGACCCTTGAAATAACTTGAAGGAAGAATGTTGTACAATTTGGATTACTATTTACTTTTCCTTTAAGTTATGTTATTTGCTGTAAAAACATTCGAGGATTGTGCCTGCTATTTTCTGATTTTTCCTCTTACTCCTTGGATTGGATGCAGCCTTCTCCTTTCTTTTTCTTTTTTTAGTCAGTATTTTTTCTTCTCTTGGAATGGTAAAATTCATCCAAAAATACCCTTATCTGTACTTGTACCTGTTATTTTGATAAAACTCTAACATACTATGATATGACTTGGGTTTCAATTTATGGTGGTTGCTTGATTTGTGGGTTTACTCTCAGTCAGCCATACATGGTTATCATTGTCAATTTGTTGGGTAGTTGATGCAACTTTGCAACACTAGTGGGCTGGATATTGGTTTCTGGTTGGTGGTGTTTGATTTGCGGTGATAGCTTAGCTGGGAGAGCATCAGATTGAAGATCTGAAGGTCGCATGTTCAATCCATGCTCACCGCACCTTTAGGGTCAAGGATGTAGGTAGCCGAAGTTATTATTCAAGGGTTCAGCTTGTATTATTTTGCTCTTTGTTTTGAAGAGTATATTTAATTTTCACAATTTTGAAGCAGCTTTGTCCTGTCTTTTACTATCATTTCATGAAAGAGAAGGGGAAAGGAAGAATGATTTTTGTCCAAGTTGGAAAACAATTATTATTATTGATGTTATTGGAAGAAAAAAAAACAAGTTCCACATCGATTAATGATAAGCCAAATTATATATATGTGGGGGATAATACCCACCTTACAAGCCAATTTTGGAGAATTGAGTTAGGTTCAAATCTACATTCTTACATGATCGACTAGTAATAAGCCAAATTATATATATAAGTGGGAGACAATCCCCACCTTACAAGCCACCAATTTTGTAGGATTGAGTTAAGATCAAATCCACATTCTTAGATGATATTAGAGTTTATTCTAGATTCATTTAATGGGTCTCCTACCATATTATCCACGCACCAAGTGTAAATGTTGTAGGCAATAGGGGGTTTATTGGAAAAACCTCAAGTCTTACATTGACTAGTGATTAAGCCAAACTAATGTATTTAAATGAGGGACAACTCCCATTTTACGACTTGGTTTTGTAGGGTTGAGTTAGGTTCAAACCTATATTCTGAGAGATGTTTTCCTTTGCTTGATTCTATTCTCTACATTATGAAACACTGATACTTTAATATGCTTTACATATCTGTATATTAAACATATTCTTTTGGATACTTCATTGATATGTATCTAAGCCTTTTAAAAAAATGATTTTTTTTTCCAATATCAGTACTCTTGGATACTTTTTCAATACTTCACCGATACATATTGGTGAAATATCCAAGCCTTTAAAAAATTATAAAAAACCAATACAGGTACATTTGACAGATAAACATGTATAAAATAGAAACATAGAAATATTGTCCCTTGATGAAGTGATGAACCAAAAATTGGAAGTTCTCTCTAAGTATGATTTCGAGATAGAAATGGGATTGATAATATTTATTCCTATTTGTAAATAATAGGAAGTAATTTATGATGACAATGATTTCAAGAAAGAAATGAGATGAGATTGATAGTATAATTCTTAATTTGGATTTACAAAATTGCAATTATGTTTTTTGGATTTTGATCAAAAATACAATTATACATTTATTATATTTTATGAATATGGATACACATCTATAGATATATCTTACACATATCATATCCTATATTTTTTTAAAAGGAATAAATATGTTTTTAGTTCCTGAACTTTTGTCATTTTTTGTTTTTAGTCTCCGAACAAATTTTATTTGGTTTTAGTCCCTGAATTTTTTCTGTGATAAAAAAAATTGACATTAGGGACCAAAATCTTAATGGAAGGAATAGTTCAAGGACTAAAAGTGAAAATCGATAAAAAGTTTAGGGACTAAAATATATATAATCCTTTATAAAATAATCATATCGTCACATCAAATATGTATCCCATATATATGCGTATCGTATTTATGCATTTCAGTGGGGGGTATAAACGATGTATGATACTCTCTTCTACCCTGCTACCTTGTTTTATGGAATTTCTTATCCTCCCCTTTGTTGTAATTCTTCTCTTTTGTCTCTAATAAAATTGCTAGATCTTTATGAAAATTTATCTTCAAGTGTTATATGCCTTTGAAGAGTTAAATTTGTATATTTTTGAACCTCCTTTCTTTTTCAGGTCTTAAGCAAGGACAATCCTCCTCGGAAAACATTTGTGTATAAATTAGATGTTCCAGTTGCTGCAAGGTGGATATCTTTGGCTGTTGCCGAATTTGAAATTCTTCCTGATCACCAATTTAGTCTCGTATCACATATGTGTTCACTGCCTAATCTGTCAAAGATGCGAAATACAGTGGAGTTTTTCCACAGTGCCTTCAGGTTTGACATGGGATAGATGCAATTTTACTTGCCTGTTATTGTTTTTTTATTGTAAAATTGTATAATGATTAGATAGTTGGACTTTTATTGGTGAGCAGCTGCTATAGGGATTATCTTTCAGTAGACTTCCCATTTGACTCATATACGCAAGTTTTCATAGAGCCAGAGATGGCAGTGTCATCATTGAGTTTAGGAGCCTCAATGAGTATATTTAGTTCTCAAGTTTTGTTTGATGAGAAGGTTATTGACCAGGTCAGTTCATAACTTAAATTCTTTTATTTGATTAGCTATTTTTTTTAATTAAATTCTTTTTGAATGAATAAAAACTGTTTTCCTTTCATGTGAGGGTTTTCTGATTATGATTTCAGTGCTATGCTAGCTTAATGACTAGCCTTAGTTTTTGTTGACAGACTATTGATACAAGGGTAAAACTTGCATATGCTCTTGCAAGACAGTGGTTTGGAGTGTATATCACTCCTGAGGCACCAAATGATGGTAACTTATCAGAGGATATTTTGATTGTTGCTTGAATTAGATTTGATTCTTTGTAAATTCAGCAGATTGCGTGTTTCCTCTATTGTGGTTGGTGAATGCTTTTTTTGCACTTTTCAGAGTGGCTCTTGGATGGACTTGCTGGTTTCTTGACAGATTTTTTTATTAAGAAACATTTAGGAAATAATGAGGCACGGTACCGGAGATACAAGGTTTGTTTTTCTATTTGGGTTAGTGTGATCTATGTGAAGGTTAACTCATCATGCATTAGACTGTCAAAAATTATGTATGGGTGCTCTTTATGTCTGTCTAAAAATGTTTCTGGTACATTGTTGCTATTAGGGTGTGGATGCATTGGAGCGTTAATGTATTCTTATGAATATTTGTGTGCCTGTTTGCTGTTAATTGCTTTTTTTTTTTTTCACTTAATTTTTAGAGTAAATCACACTGACATATCCTGAGGTTTCATGAAATTGTACAAACACTCCTTACTTTTTCTATCCCCACAATAATCTCCTTAATTGTTTAAAAAGCATTACACTAACACTCTTTAGACATTACATTAACTGTCCTGATTATTTTTAAAAAAATCATTGTGACCTCCTATAAGGGAGGTTACTTTGAATATTAAAAAAGCATGAGTTGTTGGTGAAATTTAATGAAATCTTAGGGTGTCAGTGTTTACTCTAATTTTTTTTTTAAATTTTTTTTTCTGCTATGCAGATTTGTTTCAATTTATTAATTTTCTACTGCTACTTGATTTTGAATGGCTGAGGCATTATTTTTCTGCTTGGCTTCTTATATATGGACATAAATGACTGTAGCAAAGTTTCTTACTTGAATTTCATATTTAAACATGGTGGACTTGTGTCAGTCTAGGTTGAGGCTGTAGAGCATTTAATATGCTAATTACATTTTTTGCACGCTCATGTAAATCAATCTACAGGCAAATTGTGCTGTTTGCAAAGTTGATAATGGTGGAGCGATAGCTTTGAGCTGTTCAGCTTCCTGTAAAGATTTATATGGAACTCAGTGCATTGGTTTGTATGGAAAAATAAGATCATGGAAGTCTGTAAGTAGTTTCCTTTTCTTTTTTCCACAGCCCCCTCCCCCGTGGTAATCATATTGTGCAATAAACATGTACAGTAACCTGTTTCCTTATTTAGTATTATATTTTACCCTTTTTCAGGTAGCAGTTCTTCAGATGTTGGAAAAACAAATGGGTCCTGAATCTTTCCGTAGAGTGAGATTCCTTGACATTTGCACTATTTGTCCTTCTGTCTTCTGACCATTTTAGATATACTGGGCCTGTTTTAATTAGTCAGTTTTGCAATTTTTGGTGGTCATGTATATTTGTAATTTATTTGGATATAATAAAATTGATTTTCTTCTTGAAAATGGTCTCTCAAGTTGGATGGTGTGCATTATTTGTTCCTCATCTGTCCATGATCTCATTCCATTTAGGATATGATTGATAAACCACCTGAAAAATTCATATCTGAAGATTTCAATTGCTGAAAGTATTTTGAAAGAAATAGTTGGTGATTATTATAACAAGGTTACACTAAGGGAGTGTTTGGTAGAAGAGAATTTTTTTATGTCTGGGAATCATGATTTCTAGAATGATTAAAATCTGTTTGATTGGTCATAAATGTTTTCCGGAATATTTATAAATGTTATTTGAGAATCAAAGATAATCAAATTAAGGTAATGCAATATTTTGTATCACAATGAAACTTTCCTTTTAACTTGTGAATGTTAGACTCTCAGCTTCTCTCACAGAACAATTTTGTGGGAAACCATGTTTCATAGGAGTGTTGTTTTTAAATAATGAACTAAACATGAGAAACTAACATTTCCAACTTCAGATTCCTGGAAAAGCAGTCAACCCTTTCTCTGTTCTCATGGTTGAGATGAAAAATATTGCTATATTTTATTAAACAAGTCTATTTTTTTTTAATTAGATTGAATTTGTGGCTCCTATTTTATATCCAAACTCAGTCTTTCTCCAATCAATTTTTCACATGTGGGGCAAAGTGCGTTGTGTAATTTATGAACCATTTGGCTTCTATTATATTCAAATCTGCACCTCTTCTTTTGTTTATTTGACATGGTACTAGCATAAGTGAAAAGCTTTACCTTTCACTGTTATTTATTTGATGTGAGATTATCATAGGTTGGATATTAAATATACTATATATATACATATTGACTTTTTGCTTAATATTTTGTATATGCTAAATTTTTGACACGTGGGTGTGCTTTTTGACTGAAAGCTGGAAAAATGGGTAAATGATATGATGACTGATGAGTTACTTGGGTTCTGGTTAAATAATAACTGTAGGCTATGTTGAATTGAAGAATGTTTGGATGATTGTTGTCAGATACTTGGGCAGATGTCAAAGAATAGTTGTGGAGTCTAGTGTGCTGGTTTTTGTATGTGTATTCTAAAATATACTTATTAACTTAGGCGGTAGCATTCTTTGATATATTTTTAGTGGTCTCCTTGCATTTGACACCTTTTCCTGTTGTTCTTGATCTGCCATAATCCTTTTGCTGTGTCATTTGTTATTGTTGCCATTACTT